CCCCTCTCCCCCCTTCCCCACACCTGTGAGCCTCCCCTTGCCCTATCGGAAACCTGCGGCGTGTCCCCTCCCTCCCGCCCTGAGGCGTGCCGCTGGGGGCTGCGGTGAACTTCCCCTTTTGCTGCAAAACCTTATCCCTGAGTCAAGCCCCGAAGAGCAGGGCCTGTAATTTGGGCATAGGGTTGTATGCCGCTGCTTGGAGCAGCTTGTGGAGGGCTGTGAGTGCTCTGTGATGGCTGCGGGCCTCTCCTGACTTGATTAATGCTCTCGTCTGGGGTATGGATCTTCGCTGTGGATAAGGAGGGTGAAGTTATACTGCACTGGTAGCCCTTTGGGTTATTTCATAATGCAACTGTTAGAGTGCTGTGAAACTGCAGCGCCTTTTCCATACGGTCAGGGTGACTAAATTGTCCAGTTTGAGGGGCCTACAGGAAATTCTAGCCCTGGTTTTTAAGAGGGGAGGGTAAGCGGTATCCAGCCTTGTGTTGTGCAGTAAGCAACATTCGCTTTTCCAAGTTTGAAGCTTTCTGGGGGAGACTTCTTTGCAGCTCTACAGGGAGACTTGAGTGATTCAATGTGCCTCTAATTTCTAAGAGTGTTTAACTATATTTAAGGTGATACTTGAAGTAGTCCCAGACTTAGCAAGTAGTTCTGATCTTGTTTGTGTTGGACAGAATATCAGCCTCTATGTAACATGTTGGTTTTTGTCAGTGTTCTGAAGCTAGAGCCCTGATGTTGCTATAGGAACTGGTTGAGTGAAGGGGGAGGGTCAGTTGCACTGGACTGATGCCTGTGTACTGATTCCTCTGAAAAGCTCCAGGTGAATCATGCCTGAGCTCTAAGTGTATGTGAGGATGGTGGCTTTGTTCAGGAAACCAGGCTTCAGTGAGAATCATTGCTTTAACTTGGTTATGTCTATATAGTCCTTTTGAAGGTGTTCAGTTTTCATTATTCATGACTATCGAAGGGAATGCTTGAGCTGTCTGGCAGTTTGGGGTTGTTCTAATTGGTGCTTAAAACTCATTAACCAAATTTAAACTTAATGGATGCTGTAAATTAAATAGAAGCTATCACCAGTGAGTGAAAGGGGTTTTGTATGTCGAGCATTAATGATTTGTGTAAGTACAACCCTGCTTGAAAGAGAATGTGTTGTGAGACTTCAGTAGATTTATTGTGGTAGGATATTCTTGTTGTGGTATGTTGTGTGGGATAACCTGCAGCTTTAAAGTATTCATTTTGGCTGTGTAGTCAGCTGCTCAAGAAATCCTGAAAGTCAGATGTTTTAACAACTATCATACTTGTCTTGTGACTTCCATGCAGAAGTGGAAGAAGGGTTTAAAGGATCAGGCATAAAGCTGACTAAACAAAACACTGAATCACAGCAGTTGCTGCTGCTAAACACGTTTGTTCAGTCTGTTACATGGACATTGGAGTTTTTCTCATGGTTCAGGTACTTGGATTTTAAATGTGTATTTATAAAGCTCATTAAGTTATAACTTGAGAACTAAGTTTAAGCTTGTTGGTTGAGTGGACAGTTCTTAATATGGACTTTGGACTAGTAAGGAGGACAGAAAACTGAGGGGGGGGAATGTCTTGGATTTTTTCACATGAATTTCAGTTGAAAACAAGGAAGTGGTAGCACTGAACTAGTCACTGACTGCTTGCTCATGGCCTGCTGTGGTTTCACTGACCTTTGGGAAGGCTGAGTGGCAACTGGGGACTTAAGCTGAAGAAAACATGGTTCTTAAGTTGCATGATTTCAACTTCCTTTGTAGAGCACAAAGTGTGGTACTTTCTTGGACCTAGCTACTAGCATTCAAGCCTATGGCACACAGTTGAACGCCTGTAATTAAATCTACTCTTTGAAGCTGCATTTTACTTGAGTAACATTTTGCCTGTAATTCTGCAGAGAAGTGAAGTACATGGCTGAAGTACATCTATAGACAAGCTTGCTCAGTTTAACTTCCAGAGTTATTCAGGGGAGAGAGGCAGAAACTGGTATTGTGATTAAATATGCTTTTGTTTATCCACTTAACTGTGACTTCATGAGAGGGAGCAGCCTCAAGTTTTATATTAGTGCAGCTTGATGTGTGGCATTAGCTGCTGAAAGGTGCAAGTCTTCTGCAGCTACTTGATTACTGGCTGTTGCTTCTTAAACCTGTGATGGCTAAATTATTCTTCTTTCACAGAATCTTCAGCAATACTGTTCTGTTCAGAAGATGTCTGCCCTTGAAACCCTTTTTAAATACATTGATGAACACCAAGACCTCTACATTCAGGTAAGTTGTCTTTTTGTCCTGCAGCACAGACAGCTGTTGAATGTTAAAAGTTAGGTGGTCAGCTTCAAGCTTGTTACACCTATATAATATGCCCAATAATAGAGTAATGTCAAGTAGCTGGGGAGAGAGGGAGCAGACAGCAGGTGTGACTGATTTGAGTCAAGATGGAAAACTTTGTTTCTGAAGTTTAGGCATAGTTCTGTTCAGACCTAAATCTGTGTGGTAGGTATATTAGGAAATGCTCTATTACTGGGTAGTGCAAGCAGTGACTTAGAGGTGAAAGAAGTTTGACACTGGTTCCTGAATGCCAAACTAGGTGTATATTCTCTCCTTTTTTGAGATAGGAAAGGAAAAATATAAGGCTGGAATAAAGCTTTCTCATATGAAACTGTTCATGTTGGGGTACACAGGGAGAGGTTATCTTCTGTATTTTGCTCATTAACCTGCTATGTAATTTCACCTTGTATTTCAATCCCCTTCACCTGTGAAGGAATCGGTGGTATAGCACTACACTCAGGCAAGAACTATGCCAAGAGTTCAACTTGACTTCTACCAGTTGTTCTTGGTGTTCTCATGCAGGGGAAAAAACTAAGACACCCTTTCTGAGAAGCCTGAAAGACATTAGCTGTCTCTGGATACTTAAAGAATGGCAACCAGAAAGGCACAATATGCAAAAGCTGTCATACTCTTAAGCTTACCTTAAGAATCTGTGGACTTTGTGTTATACTGCAGGAGCAGCTGTAGGAAAATGAGGTTTTAGAGAGCTTTTGAGTGTAATACATTAATGGTTAGAGTATTCCTCTGAGGAGAGAACAGAGCTAATCTGCCTCAAGTTTAAGATAGACTGAAACAGTATTAGTTGAATTGCAAGGTGATGGTTTTGTATAGTGCGTCTCAAGCCATAATTCAAGTAGTAAAACCTTTAGCTTTTCTGTCTTTCTGCAGCGGCTGGCTCAATGGGTGGCAATCCAGAGTGTGTCAGCATGGCCAGAGAAGAGGGCTGAAATCAGACACATGATGGAGGTTGCTGCAAAGGACATTGAGCGGCTGGGAGGCACAACCCAACTTATGGATATTGGGAGACAAAAGGTATGTGAGCATCTCCAGCTTAGTCAGCTGTCAGCTTAGAAAGTCTCTTTAGAAGACAAGGTGATTAGATCTAGGAGCTGCTGGCTTATGATCCCAATAAGAAATGCACTTAGGTTCCATAAAGTATACTTTAAAATGCTGTTTATTAGAGCTACCACTACAAAGAAAGATGATGGTATAGATGTCCGTTCAGATACTGGCAACCCCAAGGTGTGCAACATCTAGCAGGCATTGAATTGGTGTGCAGCATACTTTCAGATCCCATTCATGGAAACGTTCTCCGATTTCATTCAAGCTGTTTGATTCCACTGCCAAACAAAGGGGGTATTTAAATGAGAACTTCTTGTCACACTTCTAAAAAAAGCCAAGGACATGCAGGTAGTGTAATTGCCAGTACCAAGTGGGAGGTGCCTGCAAGCTACAGTCAACTGCATGAGTTTATCCTTGTAGCCCAAAGTTATGTCCAGCACAAGCTTGGGCATACTCAGACTAACTATGTGGATCACTAATTCCTTGATGTCTGGTCTTCTGGTCAGGATCACCACACAAGGGTCTAAGTGGTGTCCTAGAAAGGCAGTAGCCTGTTGGAGTGTAGGATAATCTTTCCTGCCACAGTCTGAGCTTCCTGTTAAAACCTTTGTTTATAGTAAATCTGGGGATCCAGATCAGTTAAGCATGTTGTATTACATTTGGAACTGTGTATTAAATGCATTTTAAATACTTTTCTAACTGAACATGAACAGAGAGCACCTGCAAACAAAAATGTTACTCTTTTAACAGAAGGCTGGTGTTGGACCTTAGACTTTAAACATACTGGCTGAAGTTTCAGTAAGTCTTCCAAAAGACTTTTTTGGCTCTTCCAGAAGTGTTACATTTGTCACAGGATTGCACTTCTCCCTTACCAGATACAGAAGGATCTTTAATAGGATGAGTTCCTTCCTTATTTTTAGCTATCTGGACTGCTTTTCACCTGAGAATTGTATGTGCTTACAATGATAAACTCATCCTAGGGAACCATCCACTTGATGTGCTCCTCCTTTGAAGAACCTAGTCACTACTTCCAGAATAAGACCCATTCCAAAATTTAGACCAGCATTTGGATAGTGGCATTCAAAATCCTGTTGTACTGGAGTGTTTGCTAGCTTTAGAAGATTGTCATTGTAATTGGTACTAATGACTGCTGGGTGAAATCTATGTGTATCAGGACCCTCTGTGCAGTTCTTGCTTTTGGTGACTGGAATTGATTTGTAGTACTACAGGTCCCAGCAGGGAAGCAGCTGACTTCATGTGCCCTCCTGGAAGGGAATTTGTAGGATAATTCTAGCTCTGCTACCACCTACAGCCTAAAATCCCATCAAAGGGTTTCAGTTAATTCGGGTGAACTTGTTGCTTTCATCAGTAACTTTGTGGGGGCAAGAGCTGGTTTTACAGTGTTTATTAAAAGTAACATTCCTATTTAGAAAACTATTGCATCTGGATTAATGTGAACTTTAGTTTCATGCTAAGTATAGACAAAACTAGTCAGTGTATTATGTACTTTGCATCTATATCAGTGGAGGACATAAACTGGTGAACTTGTCTGATCTAATTTAGTTTACTGCTGTACAGCAGTTCATACTGTGTACTGATTACTGTAAGTGTAATTTCTTGCAGTAATGCTTTAATCACTTAGTCCTTGGCCAGCTGCAGGTCTGTGTAACCTGTTGATAAAAAAATTGGAGCTTGGTGCCCACGTGAGCAAGAAGTCTAAGCTGATCTTGATCTGCTAAACAGTGTATAGGAGTATGTGTTTGCTGGAAGGGGAATGCATGCTGACTTGAGAATAGCATGTGATAATTGCTTCTGGGTTATTCCAAAGGACTAAGCCAACTTCAGCTCTGAACTAAGTTCATCAGCACTACCCTGCCCTCTGCTTAACAGCATAGGCTGGTATAGAGAAATACAGTGGTTATGCTGATCTTATCTGGGTGTAGGCACATGTTGTACTCAGTGGTATGACTGTCAGGAAATTTTTGTCTAGAGGTATACTGTGGACAGGATGAAAGTGCAGTGACAAGCAATGCAGAAGGCAGTATTGAATGGAGTTTATCACTTATGCTTAGGTCAGCATTAGATATGGCAGTTTGGCATGCAGACAGCTTGCTCTGCTAAAATCCAATGTAGGATTGTTAGTTTAAAGCTAACAGTTCTGAGTGGCTTGGAACACTTTGACTATTACTGGAACTTCTCAGGAAACTTCCTGGCATGGTCCTGTCATGCCTTCATTGGCACATTGCTTTTGGCAATCAGTTTAAGTAATGTAGTTTTGCTTAGCTGTCTGTGCCCCTAATCTCATAGCTGTTGTAATGTTAAAAGTAATTCATTCATTCATCTGACAAAGTGCAGCTCTGACATTCCATATCTGAATAAAACTTCTTGCCTCCCCTTTCTAGCTACCTGATGGATCAGAGATCCCTCTACCACCAATTGTTCTGGGGACGCTTGGCTCAGATCCATGCAAAAAGACAGTGTGTGTATATGGTCATCTGGACGTTCAGCCAGCAGCACTAGAGGACGGCTGGGATAGTGAGCCTTTCACACTGGTAGAAAGAGAAGGTAAGAGTGGTGGACTTCAAACTGATGAGCACTTCCTTAACGAGTATGGTACTTCTCAACTGTACTAAAGTTGTACCCTTGATTAAAAGGGTGAAGGAGAGTAAGAACAGATATGGGTGTTTAATAATGTTGAGGTAAAATATGCAGGAGAGAAATAGTAAACAAGTAAAGCTGCAAAATCTCAGCTTCTCCCAGAGCTTCTTTCCTTTTCTGATAACACTTGATGTTATCTTCCTTGTAGCTCCAGCAAAGTCCTAACTGCTGCCTTCCGTGGTAACAATTTATTGCCAGAAAACTTTCTAGAACTAGTTTCTTGTGCTGTTCACAACTTGCAGTCTGTAAGGTCATGTCAGACTGCAGGGATTTGGAACCACTACAGGAGACAAACACTTAACACAGCTGCTTTATTCCTGGAGATGGCAGTTGTACAGCAGCCTCCCTGGCTTGCCTTGTGTTTGTGTACAGTGCTACAATTAAGCTGGAGCTAGTGCCCAGACAAGTGTCCCTCTCAAACTGGGAGGAAGAAATCATGCAGTAACTCCTGTTGAAACAACACATTGCCGGTAGCCAGGAAGAGACTAAAACTTTTTTCTATTTTAAACTGTTACTGTCAGCCTCTTCCTTGTTTCCCTTGCTCAGTGTTGAGTGTCAAAGGTCATATGAATAGAAGGATATTAACCATTCTTGTTGCATAAGCGTTAAGCATTGCCAAGAAAAGAAGTATCTTTGATAACTAGTACTTCTGCTTGAGCACCTGGTCATAAGCAGGACAGTCCAAGTTATTAGGTTGGTTTATCTCATCTGACAGCAAGAGCTAGACTTGCCTCAGGCTGGGGTTTATCTCTGCAGCCTGGTCGTGTAAGAGGCACATTTACCAACGGCTCCTTACCTTGCAAGCTGTCTGGCCTGTTCTGTCACTGGTTACACCTACTGCTTCAGGGTTGTAACCAGAGCTCTGAGTTGCAGTTACTATCTGCCTCTGCTGTGATCCTATGTGCTACACTTCCTGGGACTTCCCTGTAGCCTATAAAACTTGTCTTTGACTAAAGCCCTTTCTGGGGAGGTTCACTTTTATCTGGAGAATCCAAAGAAGTGATTGGTCACTAGCTGCTAAATTCTTACTCTTCAAACAAACAATTATTGAAGCTAATACTAGATAGGCTTCTGTTAAAAGGAGGTAGCTTGTTTCTATATCCTTACTGGTATGTTTGTAGAAAATGATATTACTGTGAAGAATATGGGAATGCCATAGTCCAAGGCGGTTACATCCTTTCCAGCCTTATGCTCCACTCCCAACCAGGGAACAGCTGGGGAAAGAGGTAGGGTGGTTCAAAGTGTGAGAAATGTTTGTCCTGTACCTGTCCCACTTGTGTGGGTGTATGAAGTGACATGTAGAACTGCTACTTTAGAAGAATCAGAAAGTTAATAGAAGCAGAGCTAGATATCTTATCCAAAAAGATGTTTTCTGCAGGCAAGAGATGACTGAAGTGTTATGCTAATTTTTCTCCACACCGGTTAATTTGTATCTTGTTTCTACAGGAAAGCTGTATGGGCGAGGATCAACAGATGACAAAGGTCCAGTGCTTGCCTGGCTGAATGCCTTGGAGGCTTATCAACAAACCAACCAAGTATGTGCCCAAAATGTATCCTGCTTCTTTTCATACTCCATCTGAGTCTAGCAATAAATGTTATCCGAGCTTCAAACCCTTGTGAGGCAAGCCTGCTTATTCAGCTGACTGGAGAAGTGATGCAATAGTGCTGTAAATTCCCTCATGTCCCAGTAGGGCTGACTTGACTTGCTGACAAGTTAGTCTTGCAGATGCTTGGCTTGCACTTGAAACATTTTTGCTTTAATGAAATGGGTAGGTAGGAAAACACATATGCAAGCATCTGGAGCAGGAGGGATAATCAGATGTGATCAGTTTCATATAAAGATGTCAGATTAGCTTGGCCTTTAGCAAAGCTTAATACTAGCTGCCATTGAGCTCTAGGAAGAGGTTAATTTAGTAACACTTAACTGGGAGCTTTGCTGTTTCTGTTCAAGAAAAAATGCAACTGGAGATAGTTCAGTGTCAGCTGTATCTTGTGAGACAAGTTGCTATTACTTGTGAGAAGAATTACCAGTTCTCAGGTGCTGTCTGGGCACAGAATATGGTAGACAGGATAGCTTTGACTCTACTGTGGCATGTAATTTCTGTGGGTATGTTGGTTTTCCTAAGCCTTCTGATCTACCTTTGGCAACAGATTTCTGCTGTGTTCCCACAGTTAAGAGGATTGGGAACAAGTTGTTCTGGATTTTAGATCTTTTTTTGAAGAGTTTGAATTCCATCAAATTAAAGGTGGTGTGAGTGGCATCAACTTTGTAATATTCTGTGTATAATTAACAAATTCCACTGTCATGGAACTAATTCACCCACATCCATTTTTCTGCTTTGTAGATGACACATGAAAATTACTGATTGTTGGAGTCCAGTGTTTTCCCATAATTGATCTGTTCTTGGTTTTCATTTTCAAAGGACCTTCCAGTTAATATTAAGTTCTGCCTAGAGGGTATGGAAGAATCAGGATCTGAAGGCCTCGATGAACTAATTTTTGCTCAGCGAGATACTTTCTTCAAAGATGTGGATTATGTTTGCATTTCTGACAACTACTGGCTAGGCAAGAAGAAACCTTGTATCACCTATGGCTTGAGGGGTATCTGCTACTACTTCATAGAGGTAAGTGCTGAAGTACACTGCAAAAACAGTATTAAACTGAGTTTTCTGCTGGAGAAGAGTGGTAAGTAACTTTTTCATGCCAATAGCTTTTCTTCAGTAAAGGTGAAACTGACAAAGTAGAATTTCTACTAATTGTCTAAAATCTTCCTTATACCCTCCTCTATGATACTTGGCTGAGAAGGATAGCTTTCAGATGTATGAAGCAAGATAAGTCAGCATCTTCACTGGAGGATTATTGCATGGCATAGATACGTTCATAGATATGATACTTGAGTGCAGGAAGAGATGTCACCACTGAAGTCCCCAAGGTTGGGACAGTCAGTACTGAGGGCTTGTACTCCACAGCACTAAGAAGCATATCTGCTTTAATGTACTACAACTGAGTGGTGTGGTTTCTGAAACTGATGCGTTCTCAAAATACATGCAGCAGGTAAAAGTTTGTTCTGTGCATTAGACAGTATCTTCATGCTAAAATTAACCTGAATTTTAATTCACTTCAAACCAGGTGGAATGTAGTGATAAAGACCTTCACTCTGGAGTTTATGGTGGTTCGGTACATGAGGCTATGACAGATCTCATTACTCTAATGGGTAAGAAAATTCAGGTTTCACTGAATGCATCTGAAATGGGAGTAAGAGCCATTAAAGTGTGAGTGAGTTTGCAGTGAGGCGAGTTCCTGAGGGCTGCCTTACACTAGCAAAACATTGACCAGTGAAATGGTGCTTGCCAGGTATGCAAGGCTCATGCCTTACATACAGAAATATGGTCTTCCCAAGAAGTTGTCTATCTCCTTTAACTTCCCTTAAAATCTTGCTGCACACTTGTATGTTAATTAAACCTGCTCTCTTCTGCAAACTCTTTTATGGATACCATAGTGATCTCCTTGGGAATCTTGCCATCAAACAGCCAGCCAAATGTGTAGCAGTAGAATTGTGGTTTGACCTCCATGGGCAACTGAGCACCATGTGACTTCTCACTACCCTCTGCCCCCAGTGCTGGGAAGGAGAAAATTAAAGCAAAAAGGCTCTGAAATTGAGATAAGGACAGGAAGGGATGACTTACCTGTTATGGTCATGGGCAAAAGCAAACTATTTAGGGGAAGAAAAAAGAACATAAGTTTCAGAACACTAACAACACCACTTAGAGTAGGACAGTGAGAAGAAGCATTACCACATTTAAACACCTTCCCCCCCACCCCTCCCTTCTTCCTAAGCTTAGCTTTGCTCCTGATATCTCTCTAAGAGGCACAGCAGGCAGGGAATGGGGGGTGCAGTCAGTCCTGCCACTTCTTCCTTAGGGTGGGGGGAACTTGTTGCATTCTTCCCCTGCTCCCTCATGGTTCCCCTCTCATGGGAGACAGTCCTCCACACATTCTGACATGAGTCACTCCTATGGGTTGCAGCATTTCCCAAGCTGCTCTGGTGTCTGTCAGTCCTATGTGTGCAGTCCTCCCAGTACTGAACTACAACAGCAGGGGCTTCTCCCCACAGGGTCCTGGCCACCCTCTGGCACAGTCAGCTGCTCTGGGCTGGGGCCCTCCACAGGCTGCAGGTCAGCATCTGCTCTACTGCAGGCCTCCATGGGTGGGGGGTGGGGGGACAGCCCCTGGTGTCTCACCATAGGATACATGGGGGCTCTGCACTTGTGCATCTCCCTCCACTTCCTACTCCTTTCCTCTACTGTCCTTGGTGTTTGCATAGATGTTACAACTGCTCCTCAACTCCAAATCCTCCCAGGTTCCCCTTAAATATGTTATCACAGAGGTGTAGCGAACTGGCTTGGCCTTGGTGCAGAAGTGGGTCTGACTTGGAGCCAGGAGAGCTTCAAGAAGCTTCTCACAGGGGCCACAGCTGTAGCCCCCTCCTCTGCTACCAAAATCCTTGCCACTCACTGAAACCCAGGACAAGAATTATATATAGTTATGAGGAAGTGCACATGTTGGATAGCTGCAAATTCTGTCTCCCGTGCTTAGTGGTGATGGCTCTTGGGAGGTAAGATGTCAGACTTTCATTTCATTACACTTAGTTTTTAAAAGGCCAAGAATTGTGTTTCCCATGGAAAGTGTTTGCAGCAATGACACCTTGTTCTGGTTGAATCCTAATATTAGGTGTTTCTTGTTTACAGGTTCTCTTGTAGACAAGAAAGGAAAAATCCTCATCCCAGGCATTAATGAAGCAGTGGCAGCTGTTACTGATGAGGAGCTGGCACTATATGAGAAGATTGATTTTGACCTGGAAGAATATGCAACAGATGTAGGAGCAAGAAAACTATTGCATGATACAAAGGTACTGTACTCCTCTGCACTGGTTACCTGTGTCAGTTCAAGCTATTTATATTAGTAGAAGACAGAAACAAGCTTCTGTGGATACTTGTGTATTTATCAAGTAATTTAGTAGGCAGAGAATTCATCTGTCTTCAAAATGGTGAAATCGCCTTGAAGATAATTTCACCTACTGTACAGTTGACTGCATACTTAACACTAACAGTTTCTCTGCAAAGTGTTAGGTGCTTGGAAATCATCTAGGGATGATTAATGCAAGAAGTCTAGACAACTTTAAATTTGTTCCTTAGTCTAAGTAGCATTTCAAACTGGGACAGAACTTTATCTAGTGCTGTTTTCTTAATGCTAGATAAGAACTGCTAGCACTTTTCCAGAGGTCAAATACCACATTGACACAAAGCATCTGATTTCCTATATATGCAGAAGGTTCAGAGGGTTATCAGAAATAAAGTAGTTGCTCATAGAGATGATTTCTCATTTGGTGTGAAAACAGCTTGAGATCTAGCTGTGATGAACTTAAAGTTGACATACTGAACATCTTCCTAGACCTGGCAAGCAAGGACTATTTTGTAGCCATGAACTAGGCAGCTGCCCAAATCTTTGAAGAGGCTCAAGTTCAGTAAAGTCATGTCTGAACTTCTCAATTCTTCATCCTGGGAGCTCTCCAAATGAATGCTTTTAACAGCATTTAATCTTGCAAGGTATAGGTATTACAGACTAATTTCAAAGCATTAAACTTGAGATGTAAATACATCTTTTACTATAAAAGCAGAAACAAGTGTTGTAAAAGACAAGTTTACATGTGCAGGTCTGTATTCTGTCCTAGTACTTTCAGGAGGAGGCTTCAGACAACTCAGGTATAAGTAATTTTAGATCCTTAACCTTGTCTTTATATGCTCAGACTTATATCATCTGGGAGCACACAGACTTCCTTGTGTAGTCTTGTCCTATAAAGTAATGGATGAAATACAGCTTGTGTATAAGGAGGAGCTGGCAAGATCCTCTATGTATGATACTGAACTAAAGCTGTTCAGTCTTAGCTAAACTGAAATCCTAGCTTAATTTAGCAAGGGAGTTTTTACTAAGCTGCATGCATGCAAGAAGGGCCTTGAGTCTAAGGAGAGAGATAGAGAAGGCTGTAATCTCCAAGTGAGAAACAGTGTGTTTGAGAGACTTGAACTGTGACAGTCAAATTTGCTTTTAGAAGATTAGAAGCAGGTTGTACCTGGAACAAAACAAACTGCTAACATAAAGACCACAACACTTTGAAGTCCCCTGTTTCTCTTCAGTGAAGTTCAGGTTTGAGATACTGTAGCTCTACAGAGGACACAAATGTCTTCAATTTACAGTATCCAGTGTACCGAACAGCTGTGTCCAAGGCAGAAGAGGAGGAAATACAGAAGTGTATCTGAAAAAAGGCAGTAGTGTTCACTAATCAACTTGGAGTTCAGTCAGTTTAATACAACTGATATAAATAGCAGGAGCACACTGTATGCCTCAATCTGCACAGTGGTGAGGCTTTTAGAAAACTTGTGATCTTCATAAGCATGTGACTTTGATGAAGGCATCTGCCTGCTTTGAGGCAGTGGGGACCAGAGTTTCCAATGCACTTCCTGCACACTCTGCTTGAGCTCCTTATAAATGGTATTTGTATCCTTCTCAGCAGACTGGTTGTCTTCTATGTTCACAGAACTAGGAGAAAGCCAAACTAGAGCTACTGAAACACTTAAGGCATCTTAAGGAATCTCTTAATCCAGCTGTTGTATCAAAATATGTGTTTAATAAGAATAACAGCTTCTATTTATAGCTGAGTGGTCTTGAATGAGCTGCATTTGTCCAGGGGAGAAAGCACTGTTTGTTTCAAAGTCTTATTAGATTGAAGAAATTATTACTTTGGGGAATGATTTCCAACTTCATGTAACCTTGCATCTTTCCCTTTGCTGCAGAGAGATATCCTTATGCATAGGTGGAGATACCCTTCCTTGTCTCTCCATGGAATTGAAGGAGCATTCTCAGCCTCTGGAGCCAAGACTGTGATTCCTAGGAAAGTGATTGGCAAGTTCTCAATCCGGCTTGTGCCAAACATGACTCCTGAAGAAGTCACAAAGCATGTATGTTGAGATGGATTGAGGGTCTCAAAACGACTAGTGTCTCTAAACTACTGTTCGTCATGCCTGGGGGAAAAGTGTTTCTGGTTTCTAAAACAGGTCCAGTTATTTACTTTGCTACTATATTCCCTGTCCTACACATCAACTCAGATATTTGAGGGAATTGCTGTATGGCCCCACACTGGTCTGTTGTGGCCTGGCTATTCAATTTCTTTTATCTAACTCAAAGGGCTCAGGATGTTAATTAAATGCTAATTTAATTGCAGGACACTTGAAATGACAGAAGTGCATACTCAAAAGCATAAGTTTGATGTGTTTGTCTAACTGTTTTACAGTATACTGTTAACTTTCCTCAAGGAGATATTCTGATTTCAGAGCAGAGGTACTTAGGAATAATGAGAGTTAATAGTAATAGAAAAAGTACTGCTGCACAGTAGTAGTCACCTCTAAGTCCCAAAGATGTATTTAGTATACAGTCTTTACCAGTGTTTATACAAATGTGAACAGTACATAAGACTGTTCAATCTTTCTTATAGGTTGAAGACTATGTGAGCAAAAAGTTTGCAGAGCTGCAGAGCCCCAACAAATTCAGGGTATACTTAGGCCATGGTGGAAAACCCTGGGTGTCAGACTTCAACCATCCCCACTACATGGCTGGTAGGAGGGCCATGAAGACAGGTCAGTGTGTTTTCTACTTGGCATTGGGAGGACTTATGTTCCTGCACCTCAGGAAATACTGAGGAGTTCATGTTTGCAGAATACTTAGTGTTCCTCACTTATATAAGTTTGACTCATTGAGTAAGGAAGCATGTCATGTGCAATCCTTAAAGGTACAGGAAGGAAAAACTTAGTATCAAGTTCATTTCTATTATACTGGAACAAGCCCACTGGTACCATGTTGCTTTTGCATAAGGCTGAGACTGTTGGTAGTTCAGATCACTTGCTCAGCCAAAGTCCTCAAAGTTTAGTCATCCTTGCATCATTCTTTCAGTTATGCTAGAGCAAATCTGACTTACGTGTTGGAGTACAAACAGGCTTTCCGATGAAGTGTTATTTGTGTAACTGAACTCTGAAAATGGCAGTGCTCCAGCACTACATCTGGGGGCAAATGCTGCAATTCTGCAACCTCTGCATTCTGGTTGATTAAAACAGCAAGACTTGGTCAGCACATGGTACAGTAGTGGTTGGTACTTAATTGCTTAAGCAGCCGTAAGGATATGTGATGGAAACGCAGACACAATTCCAAACTGACTAGTGTCACTTTGTTCTAGTTTTTGGAGTGGAACCAGACCTGACAAGGGAGGGAGGAAGCATTCCTGTTACCCTTACTTTTCAGGAAGCAACAGGCAAGAATGTCATGCTGCTTCCTGTTGGAGCTGCAGATGATGGTGCCCACTCCCAAAATGAGAAGCTAAATAGGTAAGAGAATATTTATCCCTATGCCAGGCTGAGTTGTACTGTGGGTCTTGGCACATATTATCAAGAGGACCAAGAAGAATTGGGCTTCTGCTCTTTAAATTTCTAGAAGTCAAAGTACCATTTCTTCCTAGCAGAATAAATGGTGCTTTGGGTAACTGGTCTGTAGCTGAATCTTGATCCAATTACTACTTCTAGCTTCATACACTTGAAACCAAGGAGTAATTTTTATACTTTGATCTCCAAGCTTGGCTATTCTCCCCTACACTAAAGGTGACATTTCTTGTGCCAGGGGAGATTCCAGGGAGGTTGGGAGTAGTACCTGTTGCCTGCAACAGCAGTGCCTGTAACATCTCTTGCCTGCATAGGGCTGATTCTGCAGAATGCCCAAATAGTAGCACTACATCTCAAAGGAAGACAATGCTAACAGAAGCTGTCTTTCCAGGTACAACTACATCCAGGGGGTGAAGATGCTTGGTGCATACCTTTATGAAGTCTCTCAACTGAAGGACTAAGACACCTTACCTTCTGGCTTATGGATCAGAAGTCTGAATTTTCTTACAAAATGTCATCAATTACCAAGTCCACATCACTCCTCTTTTCCACCAACACTCCATTGCTTTGGTGGTGAGATGGAAGTGTACAGTTCCACTTGACAAAAAACAGTGTACCAAAAATGTTTCTTTAAATGACAGACTATTCTTTATCTGACCAGCAGTCCTGAATTGCATCTTTGTCCCTTCTGTGTCACATCAGAGCTGGTTTGTTGTATTCATCTACTTTTCCTGTAAAGCAGGAGGAATGCTTTCTTCACAGCTGTTTAAGCAGCCACAGTTGCAAAACTGCCAACTAAGGTTAAGGATCTTATTCCTGGATATGTCCTGAAGTAGTCAGTGACAGATCATGGGGCTGTACTGGAATGTGTTCAGGTTGTAGTGAGGCATCTGTCTTGCCAACCAAGCAATTTGGAAAAGCAGTTTGTCTCTTACAGTTTATACCTGCCTGCAGGTTTCAATTTACAGTGAACTGGGTTGTAACAAAATTCACTGTGGTAATGACTACTGGCTGTCTTTTTGTAAAGCTGCCTTTGTACTCCCTAAAAAGGACAATAAATAATCATGCTCTAGAGTTTGGCTCTTAGTCTCTAAGGATGAAATAATGACTTGGGAGGGAAAGCAACTTCATGTAACTTGCGAGGAATGTTTCTGTGCCTGTAAAGGCAGATGAGCAACACTGACTACACAGACTGTACTTTCTGGGAGTCCAAATCTGTATTCTTTAGGCTCTGGCTCCAAAACAGATTGCTGACTTGGAGCAGATGTTGCTAAATCCTGTTCTCCTGAGAGAAAATGATCTCAGAAAATGTTTCATTTTGACTCTAAGCCAAGTCATCACACTGTAGCACAGCTGATGATACTACAAGGGAGTGGGGGGAATTTGTAGGCCTAAGTGGGGAGAGAAGAGCATCATTCATTTCACCCACTGACTGACATCCAGCTTCCAGCTATCTTTTGGAAATGTTCAACTCTAACACTTCTGGTATTCTTCAAAAAAAAACCCCTCTTAAATGTGTGGCTAGATTGGCTCACTGTCTCTGGATTCCTTGACCAGTGCTAGCAGGCTAATCTAGGTAGGTATTTCAAGTGATGATGCTTTGCCCTGAGACCAGTCCAAGAGCCTGGTCGTCCTAATACCTGACAAATAGGGGAGCAGCATGTGATGCTTCCTCCCTTGGGGGGCAGAGGGCCAGGAATGTCTTGTCTGCCTGATTTTTGCTGTTACTTGATCTGGAATCTTAATAGTGGATGGCTGTTGGTAGCAGGGAGGATTCTTGTGGGTAGCTTATAAAGCTTCTTTCCCTTGTTTGTTTTGTTCTCTTTGGCTTGTGCAAGTTGATGGCTGGAGATAATCTGGTCCCATTAAACTTGCACTTGCAGCTGGGGTACAGGCTGAGGCCTGTGTCATGTGCCTGTGCCAGTCTTTCCTAGCACCCAGCATCTGCATGAACACTGGATAATGGGCTGCTAGGTTCTTGCCTTTCAGTGGCAGTGGAATTACTCTGCTGAAACATGCAGCCTGTATATAGGACAAGGCTGGCATGTCTGAATATTTAAAGGTCATTTGTATGCTGAGATCGATTAGTTAGAGGGTAGTCCTAGGAGTCAGTGTGTTTAAAGCAGCTTTCTCAGTTACTGATTTGACACCTCCAGACTTCTCTGAATGGGGTAACTTTACACAAAAAGACAATTTCCTGGCTTTTGCTGAGCTTATATTGTTCTACCTATTGAAAGCATCAAAACTTTAAGAATCTAGTTCCTGGACTGAGGTAATACTAGTTTCTCACAATGTAAAGAAAAAGCTTATTTGGCCATGAGAAAAGCTGATAACATCATGAGCTATGTTCATAAAGTGAGTATGTCTGTAGTTGTCCTACTTCATTTCTTAAGGCTCAATTAACTGGCTGAAGTTCAGCACTTGAGACACTTCATCAGATCCTGCACTTCCTGAATAAGTACAGCATGGCAGAAGTGTGAAGGGTGCCCAAAAGAGAAGAAAGTGTGTTAAGGGCTTTGTAGAAGAAGCTGGGAAGCAGATCCTGTTGGACAGACAGCAGAAATACTTGGCCATGGGGTGAGTGCTGTAAAGGAGACCAAAATGGCACTTTGGCCTGAGCAAAATGCACACAGGAGCAAGTTGCTAAAGTAATGGGTTCTTTATGAGACTTGATGGGATTTCAGAGTTGTTTAGCTGTATAACTTTTTAAGTTGGAAATCATCAGTCTCTGTTACCTTGCTACAGTGGAGCTTGCTTTAGCTGTAACCTTTCTTGTACCTGCCTAAGGTGAACACAAAAGCGGTAATGCTTGGCCTGAGTGAACAATACAGGCAAAAGGGATTAGTGGTGCCAGCTCTTCTATAGCATGCCTGCCTCAGACCTGATTCCTTGGACACTTCTAGAAAAATGGTATCTATTGCATGACTTGGTTTGCTGCATCTTTGAATGCTTGTGTGTTGTATGAAGAGTTTGCTTAGCTCATGTTACTTGAACAGCAGCACTATTGTACAATACAGAAGTGTCTGACAAAGTGGGATCTGAGCATGAAAAATAAAATGCATCCGTGAAGCACAGAACCTCACAGCACCATCTGCTGGGTGTAAAAAGACTGCTTGACCCTTTCCACACACTTTATAGCATTGCTTGGCCAGCTCCAGTTAACATGTAACTTGTATGTTGTGTGAGCTAACATTGGCAGGATGCAGGAACAGGCATAAAATTACAGATGAAATGCAAAGAGTAAATTTATTCTCATTACCTCACAACTTGGAGGTATCACCACAGCAGCACATAGGCATTTAAGTGGGGATATAGGCACTACAGAGCTTGGTCCTTGCTAGCCAGGAGGAGGAGAAAGAAAAGACCTTGAACCTGCTGCTTTCGCCTGTATGTATCAGGGATTTTCACAGGCGTAGTTTTCCACTGTCTTGATCTTTCCCACAGCAGGGCAGGAATCTCAAGGATGTTTGATAAGGTGCCTCAGTCTCTCACAGGCCAATGTTTTCTAAATGCAGATGTTTTACCCTTCAAGCACACAAAGCTAAACAACAATTAGTATGATCTATGTGGCTTTTGACACCTCAGGTGCAAGTCACTTGAGCATGTTTAAAATGCTCCATTGTATTCCCACATATAACTAATATCCCTCAATAGATGTTCATTAAAAGACTCCTAAGTGGACTGACTTGACTGCCAGACCAATCCCTGGTGAGGGGGAAGTACTGCCAGGAGGAGGGCAAGAGTGCTGATGTTTCAGAAGGCTTTGGTTGGCCTAGGTAGGTGCAATGTATGTTCACTGTGCTAGGTAACTCCTGTGCGGTGGTAAGCACAGGCAAAATGTTCTTACTGGTCTTGCAGATTTTTTTATTATGGTTTTTGTCTACAGTCATCTTAGCTTCTCTGGGGTGGACTTATGCCTGGAACAGTTTTACAAACATGAACAGCTACAGTCTCCAATTTTCCTGAGTAGATGTGCCAGCTTTATTTATAAGCAAGCATAATTAAGGCTGTCAAAAGGAATGTGGTTACAAATTTCTCTAATCTGGTAAGTGTCTGAACCTTGGCTGGGCCTATCAGGGATACTAACACATGCCTGCTTAGCTTAGACTTATTTACTGCTTAGGCTATTGCTTCAAGGTGTTCTTCTCTTTTTCATGCCCAGGTTTTATTTGTCTACCACTTGTCTCTTAGGGGTAAACCAGGTAGGAGCCCAGTTTAGTGTCAGCTAACCCAAATGGCATGTGGCTGTAAATTGGTGAGAACTTTTTGCTTGTAAGCTTCTGTTTAGTTAAGTTACATCAAAGTATGCTAAAATACTTCAAATATTGAAGTAGTTGGATCACCTTTGTACCTCCTCTGTGCCCCAGAGCCCCAAGATAACTTTGCGTTTCTTGTCCAGATTCCCTTATAGTTAAATTTGATGGAACTCCATAACTCTGCTTTATTTGAAAGTAGGAGTTCTGTTAAAAATGAGAGAAGAATTGTATGTCCTCACTTAGATATTTTTTCCCTTCCTTTAAGTAATTTAAGCCAGCAGTATTGGTTTTCTACAAACTAGTTCTGGGGAGCTGGGAGGATTACTTGCAGAAGTGAAAGTGGCTTTGTAAATAGGCAGATGGGGGGGAAAAAAAGGGATAGCTGTATGCCACAAAACCAAATACATTCTTCTGTCTTGTTTCCTAATGTGAAATAATAGCTTGATTCCTGATAGGAAATGGGGGAATTCCTTAGTCAGTGGCATGCTGCTGTTCACAAGTCCAGTTGGCTTGTACTTCCAGTTCTCCCACTCCAAGAAGGTGGTGCATTTTACAATCACTCATCCATGGGGTGAAACTACTGCAAAACTGAGAATGCAGACTTCTGATTTGTAATACCTGATTGCTCACTAGATTTCTTGTGTTTTAGCAAAATCCATGACAGTGCATCTTGATATGGAATATGCACTTAAAAGAGCAGCTGGAGTTATTACAAGCTATTATCCTTAAATGAATAAGCCCTAACCGTCTTTTAAAATGTCACTTTTCTTTATTTTTGCTGTACTGGGAAACAATAGCATGCACATTAAAGCACAGCCCTGGTTTTCAACTGTGTGGCAATACATTTTAGGCTTATTGAGCACAATGTTGCCTAATTTAAAACTGGTTTTAATTTGCAAAACAGACTTTGGTTTAACATAATGAGTTTGGATGTACTAACTAAATCAGAACTTATTTTTCCATAAGGTTACATGATAGACTGTCTTAACTTCAGGAACTTCAGCTTTGTGATCTTGACCTTGAAGCAATGTGAAGAGTGGAGATAACATAGAGCTAATCTAGATACAGTATGCAAGTTTGTTCATTCTGTCAAAGTACTAGCTTAAAAACATTACAAATTTTTTTCACTGTCATCTGAACTCATTCAATTAAACCAGAGTAGATTCATGTGTTAAATATGCTTTTACATTATGAGGAGTCAATCTGAATAAATCACCTTCCTGATAACCAATAAAGTTATGCAGGGGATTTAAATCACTCTTCAGACAATCTGCTTAGGCTATACAGGAAAGCTTAGTGGATAATTTTGATTCTAGTCCCTTACTAGCTTGATCATACCATTCCACATCATGTTAGGTTGTGACAAACCCTGACTGCTAAGACATGTTTTTCTAGTACTTTTAAATATTCATCTTTATATTAATTTTGCATATCCTTAGCGATTCTGAGATTTCTTGAGGACTGCTTAAAATGCATGCCAGTGAAATATGCCAGCTGATGCTGACACATTGGTATGCAGTGTCCTCCTTCTGTCTGGGCAGGCTCATGTTCTACTCAGTCATGGACACAGCCCATAGACCTCATATTTCTGCCCTTTGGACTGAAAAATAACAAATCCAGATGAGCAGCTTCTTTTGTCATTGTTATTGTGCTAGGTTCTCCTTCGGAAAAGCAGCCATTCTGTATGCATTGCATTTGCATTGTGAGACCTATTGCATCCTCAGAGGATGTGTGGTCTCTTCACAAAAAGTAAAAGCTAACTCCACCAAGATATCTGTAAGAGTAACTGTGTAGTTAAAGTCTTTAACCGCAAACTTG